GTAAATTATTATATTTAAATTGACCAGATTTTAATAAGTGGTTACCATTTTCCTCATTTGCCCATTTAGTAGTCTGTTTAAAATATTTACACAATATTTTATTCATTTTTTTAATATAATTTCTTAGAAATGTGTAAAAGTTAGATAAATATACATGCTATCAGAAGATTGTAGTCCTAAAACATTTCTACCAAATTTAAATTTATAAATATGTATGGTATTGGTTGTTGAAAATAACCTAAATTTTCAACCAGAATACAGTACCAAAAAATGTGATCTTTTTGTTTTTTTCATAGCTTTTCTGTCCAGTATTATAAATATAGATCAGTGGCGTTTTTCTGCCTTGACAATACAAAATTTATTAGAAAGTTTGGAGAAAATCAACTTGTGACATGCAAAGAGGGTTTTTTAAACTACCATAGTTGCAGTCTGTTTAAACCTAGGATAATTGGCTATAAATCAGCAGACTGCTGGACAAATTTTAAAATTCTTCCTTCTGCTCAAAATATTATACATCCCAAGAAGTTAGAGGGGCTGTTATGTTCAGCTCCAGTATTTAATTAATCAGACAATATTTATGTTACCTTGGAGATTGGCTTGTTCCTAAGCCAAATCCTTATATGGCAGTAGTAAGTTTTGAAAAAAATACTAGACCTACCTGTTCATGAAAGAACCTTCCTAAACTGAAGGTATCACTTAAAACATATTCTCCCATTAACAGTAGACATTTGCTTTTAAGTTTTCACTAAAAGGACATTAGCTAAGGAATTTTTCCAATGAAACAAGTAAAGGAGTTTTCTCAAAGAATCATTAGCTTATGATTTTTTCCAAAATTGTCATTAGCATGAGTTAACTTGTAAAGGACGTTTGGTTGCAAATTTTTCCCAAATGACACTAGGTTATTCATTTTTGGATTCAATTTAAAAACAACCAAGGCAAAACAAATACATACATTAACCTTTTTTATCTGTTAATACAACTTCAAAAATCAATATATATAGATCCGTGGTATGATTGTCATGATTATACCTGTTAATAATATAATGATCTTCAAACAGTATTAATCCCCCTTATTTCACTATTAGCCAAAAGTTGGTATGATTGAAGCATATACAGTACTTATCAAATAACCTATTCAAGATTAAAAATTTATCAAGGAGTTTTACCATAAAACAGGGAGGCCACAAGAACTTGACAAACAAAAAAATCCAATAAAAATTTTACAAGAAGATGAAATTAAATATCTTAGAATATGCTATTCAAGATCTTAATTTTATGACATCCAGGAAAATGTGTCAGATATCTCAGTTGTACAGTGTACAAACATTTCAAGTTACAGACTAAGTATCACAAGTTACACAATACATATCACTAGTTAAAGGATAAGAATCACAAGTTATACGGTATATATTACTTGTTACCAGATCAGATATCTCAAGTTATAGAATCAGACAACCATTTTCACTGACAGAAAGTAGAGGGTTTTTTTGATAAAATCAGAAGATGTTTTAAAAATTCAACAATTGAAGGAAAACAAATTCTACTGCAACTGCACAAACTCGATAAAAAGAAATCTACAGATGTGGTTACCCTGCCAAATATTGACAGGCAATGTGACTCCAACCCTAATCGTTACTTTGGTTTGAGTAAATACCTGGTATGATACTGTTTGGGGTACACCATCCAATGATGCTGAGCTATTTTGCAGATAATACCATGAAATTCAGTCCGTTAAGATTTTTTTATCAAAACCAATTTATTTAGTCCAACAGACAGAAATAAAGGGACCAAAATAAGTTAACAGCTATCACATGGCTTTTTTTTATTATAAATAAAGACCGAAAATATATTATCTAAAAATTACAAAATTTGTAAACAAAACTATATATAAAAATAGAAAATATATAAACCCACCAAGTAATTATAATTTAACAGCATTAGGTCATTAATACACTTAATTCTTTAGTTGCAGAGTTCCACAAAATGTAAGGTTGATATACAAGGTAAACAAAATACTTCTCTAAACATAAAATAGGTAGAAAAATGAAAAAGCACATTGAGTGAAATTGATATTAAGTCTAATTAAAATGTATAGTAGTTATACATGTAAAATTATATAAAAATCCTGTCTTGTTAAGCAGAGATCCAGCCAGCAATTTTTCTTTTTACTAAATGCTGCATATGCTTTATAGTGAATTGTACGCTTTCTAAGGCACCCAAGGAGAACCATAGCAGTTTGGTAGAGCATCACATGTAATCCATTAAAAACCAAAGTGTCGAAGCTAAATAAAGAGCTCAGTACCATTAAAAACCAAACAAAGTGTTGGACCTAAATAAAGAGCTCAGTACCATTAAAAACCAAACAAAGTGTTGGACCTAAATAAAGAGCTCAGTACCATTAAAAACCAAACAAAGTGTTGGACCTAAATAAAGAGCTCAGTACCATTAAAAACCAAACAAAGTGTTGGACCTAAATATAGATCTAAGTATCATTTAAAAACCAAAGTGTTGGACCTAAATAAAGATCTCAGTATCATTAAAAACCAAAGTGTTGGACCTAAATAAAGATCTCAGTATCATTAAAAACCAAACAAAGTGTTGGACCTAAATAAAGAGCTCAGTACCATTAAAAACCAAACAAAAAGTTGGACCTAATTAAAGAGTTCAGTACCATTAAAAACTAAACAAAGTGTTGGTCCTAAATAAAGAGCTCAGTACCATTAAAAATCAAAGTGTTGGACCTAAATAAAGAGTTCAGTACCATTAAAAACCAAACAAAGTGTTGGACCTAAATAAAGAACTCAGTACCATTAAACTCCAAGCAAAGTGTTGGACCTAAATAAAGAACTCAGTACCATTAAAAACCAAACAAAGTGTTGGACCTAAATAAAGAGCTTAGTACCATTAAAAATCAAACAAAGTGTTGGACCTAAATAAAGATCTCAGTATCATTAAAAACCAAAGTGTTGGACCTAAATAAAGAGCTCAGTACCATTAAAAACCAAACAAAGTGTTGGACCTAAATAAAGAATTCAGTACCAATAAAAACCAAACAAAGTGTTCGAGCTAAATAAAGAGCTCAGTACCATTAAAAAACAAAGTGTTGGACCTCAATAAAGAGCTCAGTACCATTAACAACCAAACAAAGTATTGGACCTAAATAAAGAGTTCAGTATCATTAAAAACCAAACAAAGTGTTGGACCTAAATAAAGAGTTTAGTACCATTAAAAACCAAACCAAGTGTTGGACCTAAATAAAGAGCTCATTTCCATTAAAAACCAAACAAAGTGTTGGACCTAAATAAAGAGCTCAGTACCATTAAAAACCAAACAAAGTGTTGGACCTAAATAAAGAGCTTATTACCATTAAAAACCAAGCAAAGTGTTGGAGCTAAATAAAGAGCCCAGTACCATTCAAAACCAAACAAAGTGTTGGAGCTAAATAAAGAGCTCAGTACCATTAAAAACCAAACAAAGTGTTGGACCTAAATAAAGAGTTCAGTACCATTAAAAAACAAAGTGTTGGACCTCAATAAAGAGCTCAGTACCATTAACAACCAAACAAAGTGTTGGACCAAAATAAAGAGCTCAGTACCATTAACAACCAAACAAAGTGTTGGACCTAAATAAAGAGTTCAGTATCATTAAAAACCAAACAAAGTGTTGGACCTAAATAAAGAGTTCAGTACCATTAAAAACCAAACAAAGTGTTGGACCTAAATAAAGAGCTCAGTGCCATTAAAAACCAAACAAAGTGTTGGACCTAAATAAAGAGCTCATTACCATTAAAAGCAAAGCAAAGTGTTGGAGCTAAATAAAGAGCCCAGTACCATTAAAAACCAAAGTGTTGGACCTAAATAAAGAGCTCAGTACCATTAAAAACTAAACAAAGTGTTGGACCTAAATAAAGAGTTCAGTATCATTAAAAACCAAACAAAGTGTTGGACCTCAATAAAGAGCTCAGTACCATTAAAAACCAAACAAAGTGTTGGACCTAAATAAAGAGCTCAGTACCATTAAAAACCAAACAAAGTGTTGGACCTAAATAAAGAGCTCAGTACCATTAAAAACCAAACAAAGTGTTGGACCTAAATAAAGAGCTCAGTACCATTAAAAACCAAACAAAGTGCTGGAGCTAAATAAAGAGCTCAGTACCATTAAAAACTAAACAAAGTGTTGGACCTAAATAAAGAGCTCATTTCCATTAAAAACCAAACAAAGTGTTGGACCTTAATAAAGAGCTCAGTGCCATTAAAAACCAAACAAAGTGTTGGACCTAAATAAAGAGCTCAGTACCATTAAAAACCAAACAAAGTGTTGGACCTTAATAAAGAGCTCAGTGCCATTAAAAACCAAACAAAGTGTTGGACCTAAATAAAGAGCTCAGTACCATTAAAAACCAAACAAAGTGTTGGACCTAAATAAAGAATTCAGTACCAATAAAAACCAAACAAAGTGTTGGACCTAAATAAAGAGCTCAGTACCATTAAAAAACAAAGTGTTGGACCTCAATAAAGAGCTCAGTACCATTAACAACCAAACAAAGTATTGGACCTAAATAAAGAGTTCAGTATCATTAAAAACCAAACAAAGTGTTGGACCTAAATAAAGAGTTTAGTACCATTAAAAACCAAACAAAGTGTTGGACCTAAATAAAGAGCTCATTTCCATTAAAAACCAAAGTATTGGACCTAAATAAAGAGTTCAGTACCATTAAAAACCAAACAAAGTGTTGGACCTAAATAAAGAGTTAAGTACCATTAAAAACCAAACAAAGTGTTGGAGCTAAATTTATTATTATTTTTATTATTATTATTATTATTATTATTATTATTATTATTATTATTATTATTATTATTTTAGTTAAAGAGGGTAACTCAATTAGCTAAGAACTAATCTACCTTGAGGCCCTCATTCAAAGGAATTTACTTATTTTTGCTGCACCTCTAAAGCCACTGTATATACTGGGTTTGGATTTACACAGACATAAGAAGAATACCGCTCTGGTGGCCTAGTGGTTAGAGCATCTGCCTCGGATGACAGAGGTCGTGGGTTCAAACCCAGGCCAAGTCATACCAAAGAAGTTATAAAAATGGTACTAACACTTGCCTCACTGGGCACTCGGCATTAAGAGGTTAGTGTTTGGACTGGTTGGCCTGATGTCAGGATAATGTGACTGGGTGGGACATGTTGTTACATGTCAGTGGCATGATGTCTCAGTGCTAGACATCACTATAATCTGCCACACTGTAGACATCATATCAATGTGACTGAAAGTTTTTTAAATGCTAAGCTAAAAATCCAAATCACACACACACACATTCACACACAAGAAGTGGAACGTATACTGAATGTTTCAACACAATGAATATGCCTATTGTACACACAAGAAGAGGAATATATACTCTATCATTCCACATATTGCATTTACACAAGCTCAAGAAGAGGAATGTATGAAACTGAGACCAGAGGAAAGGCTATGTGATGTACAATACAAGTTATGGTACATTTATAGACAAAGATGTTATTGATGAGAATGAAATTTAGATTAGGTCTTGTAAACATCAAACTGTGTACCAGTCTGACATTCTCCAACTACATCTCCACTAAGCCATGACAGAAAATTGATAATCAAATTCAGCTGGATATATTAACCTACATATAGAAACTTTTTCTTAACATCTTGCCAATTATTAAGAAACAGCTACTACTGTCTACATCTGTACTACACAAGATACTTATGTCATTAAAGTTTAAACAGCAATGTAATTTAACCTCAACCCAAAAGTAAGTAATTGGAACTTTAACCAAACTGTTCAGAAATAGTTTACAGAAATTTAAAAAAATTAAAATGTCAATAATTCAGGTCAAGTAGAAAATAAGCTAGATTTTGGACAATGTTAAGTCCAACATATAATATCACACATTAAATTAGCATCAGACAAAGAAAAAGAAAATAAAATGCTAAAAATTAACAACCATCATGATTTAAATATATGTAACAATATCTCTCTTGCCAAAGTCAAGATGGCAGACACTAGACAGTGGTTATTAACAGTTGTTTGTTTTCTTTCTTTCCTATATGAGAGGAAACTTGGATTGTGTGTTGCTGTTTTTCCTAAACATTTTATTTTTCCCTTTACAAGTTGGTAATCAGATATAGAGTAATTTATCATCAAGTCATCTCCCTAAAAAATATTATGCATCAGGCATCACTAACTTAGTCCTTAATGTCTGCATTAAATATACATGATTGACGTTTTAGATTATTGACCAATGGGTCCTAATCACATGGACATTTCATCAAGATTTGTGGCTTTCAATTAAATTTACCATGCATAAACCATTCTTTTCTTCTGAGACATGCCATAACCATGACCTCTGAAAATCAATCCGTTTTTTTTTTATCTAAGTGAATGCCATTCACAAATATTGGTCAAGGAACTTTAGATCAAACATTATGCCCTAAAATCTATCAATCTAATAATCTAATTCAGTTTTCAAGTCACCTTTAGACCACAAAATCAAGTGGTTGTTTATACAAGCCATCCTCCAGGTTTTGTCAAGGTGTGTGAGGTAGGTCAAATCTGATTGTGCAGAAGCCACATATTTTCTTTCAGTCAGTAACCTTGAGCTCTCATTTTGACCCAAAATTAATAGAATTCTTTCAAAGTACAATTTATCCTCAATGGTTGGTCCATGGATTGGATGTGAAAAGAATTGCATACTGAAGATAGAAAACTCAAAATCTAATTTAATAACATGAAAACTGATATATATACACTCATACATACATACATAATTATAATTACATTGTAATTGTTTCATGTTAGTGTCTTCTGCAATTGCATGCCATTCACAAATATACACATAGGTCCAAAAATAAACTTTATTTTGCTAGCTATAAAGTCTGTCACCTCGTGATATAGAGAACCACAAACTTGTTGTTGTTGTTGTTGGGCTTAACGCCATTTTTCAGCACACGATAGGCTATTCATGGCGGCCAGTATTAATGGCGGAGGAAGAAACCGGGAAATCACCGGAAAGAACCACCGACCCACGAGAAGCTACTGGCAAGCTTTCTCACATATCCACATTCTCGGAATCCTAGACTCGAACACACACACAGACAGAGGTGAGATGGCAGTGATCCGTAACGGACATTGCTTTAGACCACTAGGGGCCCCTAAATTGTTGGTTTGCATATGTATGTATGTATGTATGTATGTATGTATGTATGTATGTATGTATGTGTGTGTGTGTGTGTGTGTGTGTGTGTGTGTGTGTGTGTGTGTGTGTGTGTATGTATGTATGTATGTATGTATGTATGTATGTATGTATGTATGTATGTATGTATGTAACAGCACAACTGAACAGTAATAGCTATATTGCACCAATTAAATATAATGTCCAAAAATGTATGAAGACACAACCTTTCAAATTAATGTAATCATTTTTTATGAGAGAAATCATAAACGATAAAGATTTGGAAATCTGTAGAATGTAAATAAAATGTAAAGGTAAAAAATATAAAGTTTCTAAAATATTGTGTCAATAATTCCTCATAATGTCCAAGATTATCATAAAGTAATGTCTTACATATTCTGTTTCTACGAAATCTCAACTATAACATTTTCCACTGTACACAATGTACAAATTTCCTTTTTTGTACATGTATTAATAATGATATATTAATCTATACACAGCATGGTTTATGTGTTTGAAGGTATTTGTGTCCAAAAGTTAATCAAGAATACTATCAACATTATGTCCATGCCCTTTGTTTGATAATTTTCTGTGTGGATGTCTGACAGTTTTGTGCATAAACCATTTCTCTTTTTCATTCTCATTTACCTTCACTTTTAACCTCTTGGCACCAAAATAAATATATTTCTTTCTAATTAAAGATGCAAACCATGAACTAAGTTTGGTTTCGGTTTGTCATGTGTAATGTTATTGTGCAGAAACTGTTTTTCTTCAATGACTGAACTTGACCTTCACCCAAAATAAAAAGCTCCATATATTTGATGTAGAAACAATTGTATTACATGGAAACTATTGGTATTCTTTCATTTGCACTATCTTTGACCTCATATGCTGGAGAACTTGAGTGATTGTGAGGAAACCGTCACAGGGACATTAATCTTCGAGCTTTTCTAATTTAAAAAGATAGGGTTTCTCCTTACGCCAGATGCAAACAATCCACAAGGTTTGGTAACTGTGACGATGGACAACTTAACTTTGTGGAAATGAAATTTGTTACTGATCGATGGACATCATTATAGTACAGTACACTGATTTTTAGTGGGAATATTATTAAAGGTAAGAAATAAAAATGAGAGGAAAATTATGTGCAGATTAACTCGACATAAATTTTGGAATTAACACAGTTAATTAGTCTAACACAGATGTGATTGTGCTTGAAAGAGAAAAGGATAAAAACGATCCATACATGATGTAACATTAAAGCAAAATTTGTGGTAGCTAGCAAATAAAACAGATAAACTACCTCTGTTTCGTTTTCTGAGTCACAAATGCCAGTTAAATGATAACCACAGGTGCTCAATTCTAGTTTAATTTTGTAACAAAAGGAATAACCTGTAGGAAAAATATAATAAAGTGTAACAAGATTGCCTCTGATTATCTCCATGACTCATTCTGACCTAGGACCCTAACATACCATCAAAGAGACTTTTATGGCATGATAGACAGGGTCCGTTGTTAAAATGGGTTATTGGTGTAATTGGAGGAAATTTTGTCACTCAATATAATAATATTTCTTCAAGTTATTGTTTTTTTAACACCAAGCTTACTTTGGGAACCTATGATTCTGGCTGACTTTGCTGGAGTTGTTGAAGATAATGTAACTGCACAATGCATATCCTTTAAAAATGATTTTGAAGAAAACAGATAAGAATTAATAAGCATATGTGCAATCATTTATGTTTCTACCCTGGAATGCATTTTTTTTCAGCTTTAAAAAAATATTCCTATATTGTCATGTGCCAAAAGTAATACACAACAAATGCAAGGCAAACTTGTGGATTATTATATCATCATTATTTCTACTACACCTAATCAACAAAATGTAACACAACTTCCTATTTTTCCAGTGTGTGTGCATGTGAATATATGCTTTCTAACCTATGTTTTTCAAATTGTCCAAAAATAAATAATTTTTTCACATTTGGGGATTTTTTACTGGTTCAAATTTCCCTTCATTTGAATACAAGAGTATTAAAATAGCATGCTCATCAACAACTATTTCTCCTAATATTTACTTAATATTTATATAATATTTATTTAATGCTTTTTGTTTAAATTTCATAGTGGACATAAGATTTTAAAGAATAATTCAGGAATGGATACCTTTGTGGGATGTTCAATCAGGAATGGGTACTTTGTGAGATGTTTAATCAGGAATGGGTATTTTGGGGGATGTTTTATCTGTATTGGGTACTTTGTGGGATGTTTATTAGGAATGGATACCTTTGTGGGATGTTCAATCAGGAATGGGTACTTTGTGAGATGTTTGATCAGGAATGGGTATTTTGGGGGATGTTTTATCTGGAATGGGTACTTTGTGGGATGTTTATTAGGAATGGATACATTTTGATATGTTTAATCAGGAATGGGTACTTTGTGAGATGTTTAATTAAGAATGGGTACTTTGTGAGATGTTTAATCAGGAATGGGTATTTTGTGGGATGTTTGATCTGGAATGGGTACCTTGTGGGATGTTTATTAGGAATAGATACCTTTGTGATATGTTCAGTCAGGAATGGGTACTTTGTGAGAAGTTTAATCAGCAATGGGTACTCTGTGGGATGTTTTATCAGAAATGGGTACTTTGTGAGATGTTTAACTATGAATGGGTACTTTGTGAGATGTTTAATCAGGAATGGGTATTTTGTGGGATGTTTTTTCTGGAATGGGTACTTTGTGAGATGTTTAATCAGGAATGGGTATTTTGTGGGATGTTTTATCTGGAATGGGTACTTTGTGGGATGTTTATTAGGAATGGATACCTTTGTGGGATGTTCAGTCAGGAATGGGTACTTTGTAAGATGTTT